TTGTTGTTGTTGTTGTTGTTGTTGTTGTTGTTGTTGTTGTTGTTGTTTTACTTGTTGTTTTACTTGTTACGCTGTGTGGTCACTCAGATCTCCTACCGCCCCTCCCTTCGTTCGCCCACCGCCCCAAACCCGGGAAGGTTGGTCAGAAAAAAAACTCGTTTTCGGTCGGGTCAAGCGAGCCAGGGAGTGCGACCAAGCCAAACCTCGGACGAGTGCCGTGGAACCGCACCCCGCCCCACGCGACTCGAGTCGCAGGCGGCGAGCGTCGGCGCTGTGGAACGGTGTGGGTGCGGAAGGGAGCGGAAGGGAGCGGAGGCATGCAGAGTCCCATCTTCCCAAGTTCGAAGGGGATTCAGCCATCAATGGGAGCACCCAAAAATGCAGCCAATCAGCGAGGTCACGCTTTTTGGGTTCACATGGCATGGAGCAATTGGAGATCATAGCATGGGGAGCAACTCCCGTGAAGCACACATGGGTGATATCTCACCTCCGGTTCCCACTTGAGAAGTATAATGAATCACTAACTATTGCAGTATAATACTATATACATTAGCACCTATACTGGTGCACCTATACAACTATACTATAATTAACTATAATTGTTTTAATGTATCAATTAGCACCTTCCACCAGGTCTTCACTGGTGGCCTTTTGGAGAAAGTGGCAAGTGGTGACCTGGCAGGGAGGGTCCAGGATAAAGAATTTAACTTTGAAGCTCCCGGGAAGAAGAGGTGCGACCCGGTGTCAAAGACATAATCATCGCTTGTCACTTCATCCAACAGCTCTACGAAATACGATCACCGGATATTTCAAGTAGTAAAGATCCTATGATACAATGCAAGGATCCTAGATCTCGATATGATATCCTGATATCCTGACCGCGTGGTGCGAGAAGGAGTCGAAGAGGAGACGAACGATCGCCACGGTCATCGATCACCGAGACTCCATGGGATTGAAAAAAGAGGTGAACAGGTTGAAGGTATCAAGAAGCGGAAAACCGGAGCATACGATATAACGGTCGTAGTGGATCAATGAACGAGCTAATAGGAAATCAAAAGCAACAGGAAAAACACAGAGCGCCAAAGACAACAATAATTCATTGTTAAGATCTTTGTTGTACGGTGCTATGTTTTCACAGCGTCTTCCTTTTTACATGTTTGTTCATATCAGCTTGATTGAGAAACAACCATGAAAGAATATCTGCAAAGGCTCTGAGTAGATGTTGACGATCGAAACACTTCATCTGATCCTCTTTTTGCAAACTCCCCAGCTAGTCTTGCTCTGCTGGGACGGCTACGGCTAGTCCTTAAAGCAAACGCCCCCCAAACCATGCTATTTGCCAACCAAGTGGCTTGTCCAACGAGCCTTTGATCGCTTGCTCAAAAAGCTTCTTGGTGCTGCTATCCTGGCGGAGCCGGGGCCACGCGGGGTTAGTGTGCCATGATGTCATCGTTTAAAGTCCGCTGATGTGTCCCTCAGTGGAATACCTGGAACATCACGGTTTAACATGCTTTGCTTTCCATCTGTTGCTGAATGGCGTTTGCTGAGATGATTCCCCAAACCAGGTTAAAGCTTATCCACTGATTCCAGGGTTGGTCCAAGTGACTCCCAACGATGTGCGGATGTTTTGGTCCAAGGGGTTCCCCCGCCTGCATATTGTGCCGAAGAGCACGGCAAACCATCTCCCAAGGTTGGGATGAGATGTGGGGGCATTTGCTAGAATCCAACAAGGCAACCAAAACAGGTTCTAGAAAGGTCCATTTCACCGTTCTCCATTTTTTTGGGGGGGAATTCGATTCTCACCCAGAAATGGGTGAATTCTGTCGGGTTCTTTGTTAGACACCTCTGGACCTTCATGTCACATGCTGCCCCTTCGTCCGCCTCGACGAAGGGCGACAGTCTCAGCCCACCCTGCGCCGTGGGGTTCTGAGCATCGCCACACCTGGGGCGATCGGCGAAAGGGTTGAGCAAAGAAAGAAATCAAAGGTAAGAGAAAGTATACGAGATGTACTAAGCTCTGCTATTGGGTAAGGAGATCAACTGATTCAACTGTTCTGCTCCAATGATGGACCTGGTTCTTCAGTTCGTGACCAAACTCCTTCATCCGGTCTACACCGGTCACGAAGTTCGTAACAGACCGGTCACTTTGGGTCACTGGATGGGACTCCGGTCACGAACTGAAGAAGCTTGGAATGTGCCCAGACGCGACCCGTTCGGTGTCAGACCTGAATCCTCGGGTCAGGGGTCTGGACCCGAACCAATGCCTCTGGTTTGCTTCGGGGCCAGTCGGGCGTCGTGTTTGGAGCGTCCGGGTGGAACATCATGTAATAGAATATCTATACCAGGACCCTCCTAGGGGTGCCCTGTCTGGAAGCCTATAGGTAGTGTGGGGTAGTCCAGCCAGGACACCCCGACAGGAGGGTCCAGGTATATACATGTACATTGACCCTTTTCAACCACTCCAACCGAGCGATACATCTGTCACTCCCAGAGAGTGCCGCCCCTCGGCCCACTGAGTAGTGGGCTGAGGGGCGGCACTCTACCAGCTTCTTCAGTTGACCTTTAAACGCTCCCAGCCCATGGCTTTTTCCAAACGTGGCACCTGGGATCTACACTGCCGAGTCACATGGACCCAGGTCGAATGGCACCCTCAAGGTATCCTGTTTTCCTCTAGCACCAGTGGTTTTCAGGGTCTATGTGATCGTTTTCAGTGGGGTAACGGTATATAAGTCTGGGTCACGAACTGAAGAACCAGATGCTTTGCGTTTCTGGGGTCTCACCTTTTGGTCGTGGAGGCACACAAAGAGGCCGACCAGTTCGGAACAAAACGACTCGGCCGTCCTGGGAGGAGGAAAGACTGTCATAAGAAGGTCGCAAAAAGGTCGGTCAGCAAGAAGAGCATCCAAAAACATCCAAGAATGTTGGTCAGCACCTTTCTGCTTTTTGTTTCTGTTGTTTTTGTTGTTTTTGTCTGTTGCATTGTTGTTTTTGATAAGAGCCTTTACCAAGCACATCCAAAAACAACAATTCTGCTCCATCAACCACTTGAGTGTCTAGGCTCTGACTCTGACTGAACAATGACCGTTTAACCTCGTTAAAGAGGTGGAACAGTGAACAGCCATCCACAGCCACTTTATAGGACTTGCCTCAGTGCACCCAACAGGACCTGCTTGACGTGGCCGAACGCTCTGAGAAGATCCACAACGGGTGGATGGACGGCTCCTTTGATCGGCACCTTTGCTCAGCTTCTCTCCGCCAGGTTCCCATGTTGCTCCCAACATCCCCAAATCCTGTATTCAGCAAAAAGACTTGAAAGTGCTTTTTAACATCATGATTTATAAACATATTCAGAAGCTTCTGCATGGTCTAAAAACACAAAAACTATGCCGCAAGGACCAAGCCCACAAAACAGAACAGAAACGACCTTCTCGCTTGGTCGAAAACCAGAAGACCCAAGGTTCCGCGCGTGAAGGGCTTTGTCTGGCCACAGCAATCGATGCCGGCCGCCCAGTATTGGATGTCTGGGCCGCAGGGCAATCAGTGGCAGCTTGTTAGTTTGTCAAGTTTAAACAAGGGGTATTTGCTATATAGTTATAACTATAGCTATAATATTAATAGTAACTATAGTTATATAACTACAATCTAACAGTTATAATGTATGTACAACATGCTGTAATGAACTGCGTCATTAATTAGTTCTTATACCGTTTATGATTCCAACTGCATATCAAAAGCCATGATGATAACAACATTACCTCCATGGGGGAGAAAAATAAACACGCCGCGCCAAACTATCCAACCTCTTACACCAACTGGAACTACCATGGAATGGCATGGCCCAGAAGACATCAAAAGATCATGAGTTTTCCAAAGACCACTTCCAGGGGTTGTTACTCCACGAAACCATGTGCGTTCCAGGGAGAGTTACAGAGACGTCCTCCAGGTTCCCCGGACGTTTGAAGCTGGGCTCCCCGTTGGTCACTGGAGCCACCTGATCGCGCAAAAGGCCGGAAGGGGATTGACCATCCAATGGATTGACTTCCACTTCTGAGAAGATGTGTTTGGAATTTACTACTTACTAACAAGAAGTGAACTATAGTAACACGTGCATCGCTACCCACGTAACAAGTGCATTACTACTACGGGAACAAAGTAGTAAACATCAGGAATTCGGGAATGGTGCCGGGATCCCGGCACAAATTGGACATGGAGATTAGTTTTGCGATTTCGTCCCTCGGGGTCAACATTGGTTTGGCCTGCAGGGAAGTGACTTTCGTCCAGGATCATTGGCCTTCGTCCAAATGAACCTTTTCTGGGGGAATCAACATGAATTAGATTGAATTAGTGTTCCCAAAGCACTCCGCAAGTACAAACCGTAGCTACACCGTAGCTATTCTCAGCTATTCTTCATGATATGTCCTAGAAAGTACGATGTTGGTGCTTCACCCGAAGACTTCTGTGAGGTCAGTGAGGTCGGAACAGAACAGTTGATGGAACAGGCTCAGCTGAACATCGAAGGAACATGTGGAGGTTCGAAAGAAGGAACATGTGTCAAGTACATGGTTTTTGCCAGCTAAGAGAAGAAGTGCCTGTGGCCTGTGTCTAGCAAGTCCCTTTAAGAAGCTCATCGCCTCTGTCCCAAAGGAACATCTTAACACCCACTTTTGTTCCCTCTGCCTCGGGATCCAAGTACCTGTACCTTCTCAGAAGGTGATGTGTTCGACACTGTGATGTAGGTGCCAGCCAGTCGGGTCCAGTCGTACCGAACCTGAGGTTCGCTACGACTGGATCGCTACGGAGAGGGAACAACAACAGCCCTTGTCGTTCGATGTGGACCGAAGGACTGTTCCGCCCCTCTCCGTTCGCTTCGACCGAATCGCGGATCTGAGACGATGGGTGCGACGATGCGGATCCAGTGCCGCTGTGTCTAAGGCTCCCTGCACAATAAACAGTGGACAATTGTGAGTTGGCGTCAGTAAATCCTTGGACGTCGAGCATCTGGACGTCGATGTCTATAGACATGTCACCATCTTAGACATGTGAAAAGCCTGAAGCAATCCTGAGATTGGTCTCCTTGAACCAAGGATCCATGGATTCTAGCTCCAGCTGAAAGAAGCAGATCTCTATATTTATATATACCAGACCTTCCAACAGGTGGTTTTTGGACACCCCTTAACCTATCTTAACCTCTTAAGAGGCTGTGAATAGACACCTCTTGGAAGGTCCTGGTATAGATCGATCGGTTTTGATCGATTGAGTGTCGCTCGACTCTCGACCCATGCAATCTCACCGGAGCGGACATCAGATGGACTCATGTCATTCGTGAGGTGTGTCACCGGTAGAAACATGTTCATTCCCCATCCCGTTTGGCCTCCAGTCGTACCGAACCGTTTCGATGGGGTTTGACTGGGGTGGGTGCCAGCCAGTCGGGTCCAGTCATACCGAACCTGAGGTTCGGTACAACGAAGTCGGTGTAGGGCATGTTCATTCCCCATGTTCATCCCCCCTTTGATGTCCGTTCTTCCGACCTCCGCCCCGGAGACCTCACCGCTCCGGAGAACGGACCTCACGGACCGCAGCGCTTCGACGCAAAGCCCCGGGCCGAAGGACTCCGCGAGGTTGAGACCTTCGGTGCCCGGGGAACCGGGTCGGTGCTTCGGCCCCACACCATGGGGCGGGGCGTGGTGTTGGGTTCCGTGGCGGGAAGGGGGTGGATCTCTCCGTATGTATGGCTAGTAGTGGCAGTGGCTCTAGGATTGGACGTTTAAAAGGGGTGCTTCATCTCAATTGACACATGAATGTGCATGTATGCTATATCGATCTATATAGCTTGCTCCCTTGGCTGTGTTCTAAAACAAACCAGTGGCTCGGAGCAGGGCTGCGTTATCTTGAAAGCCATGGCTTACAAGTCACAATGCGAGCCTTCGAAGCCTCGGTTGCTCTAGCCTTTGGCCAATGCACAAACATATGGCTGCCTGCCCCAAACACCCCCAAAACAAGGTCTTCTATTTAGAAGACTATGGTCTTCTATAATTCTAAGTCACCAGTTTGGGATTGCTCTATATACACTGATTTTTCATGGCGAGATCCAATGGAACGTCCTTCCCATCGCCCATCGTCCTTCCCAAGTCCGAGGCGCCAGGTGCCGACAGTAGCTGCTCTGGAGGTTGACCCACATTGACCGTAAAATACACATGTTCGACACCCCCCAATGCAAGCAAATCATGCCATACATACAGGGATTGCTGCGGGGGTACCGTTCCCTTCTTCACTTCTTCTCACTGGGGCGACCCAGCGTGTGCCATTCACGAAGACCATGCTTGAGGCATCCCCATGGGCCGACGCCAGCTGGAGCAGAGGGAGGGGTTCTTCCAGCATCCAGCTGGGACTGGGAGGTTCTTATGCATGTTTTACTCCATACATGGAGTTTTTTGTTTGTTGTTGTTTGTTTTTTGTTTAAACATGTTTAAACATGTTTTACAATGTTTTACATACATTTATGTGCCAGCACAAGTAACTACTCCGTACATGGATGGTCTGGGATTGAAAATGAGAGCTACAGGCAAGACCTCATAGGAAATCGCTCATACTGGTCCATCACTTATATACGTTCCTGGTAGGAAATCCGGGTAGTTGTGCATATTGGATCCCTTGTAATGGTAGAACACTCGTACTCCAATGACAAAACATCGGAAGTCGTTCCGACTGGTAGCTTGGAATTCCTGCTAAAAACCATCTATAATCATACACCTTGGAAGCGCGCCACGACCACTTTCTGAAAGCAAAAGAACTCCACTGCCACATGTTCTTTCCGGGACTGTCTTCCCATCAAAAAAAGTACACGACCTTTAGTAGCTTCTTGCTAGCAGCGATGGCCTCCAACCTAATAGCGATGGCCTCCTACCTCAGTAGCTCCTTGCCACTTCACCGACACGACGACTTCACGACCGACGCGGTCGTCGACACGGAGGTCGTCGACACGTTGGACGTAGTCTCTGTCTTTTCAGGCCAAGCAACAGGGTGGCACTGCTCTTAAACACCTGGACTCTCCACAGTACCCAAACGCTCCATGTATGATATACAGTATATATGCCAATCAATTGACCCCTCAAACCACCACCACCCCTGGCTTTTTCTCGGCAGTCCTATACAAGTCCCATTTGTCGCGTCTGGGCTCCAAGGAACGACCTACATACCTCTCTCGACCGATGGAGTCGCAGTAGGGCACGGTGGCCGAAACCGAAAGGCCTCGGAGGGAAGTACATTGAAGTAGCTAGCGCCTGCGAGAACCACGCTTCGTCCAGGTCGGAGGCGGACGACTTGAAGAACAAATGGTCCCCAAACGGTGTCATGGTTGCTTGATTCATGAAGTCTATCATGTTTTACATTCTATATAGATTCTCGTCATCTACTCTAATAATTACAGTAGGACTTTCGTATGTTGGCACTAGTCTTGTTTTCTTGCAGGAGTCTCAGGTTGTTCATGCCCAGGACATTTGTCGAAAGCCCCCAAGACCCCAACGACCGCAGGCTGCCGCTTGGGATTCGCATGGATTCGCGACATGCCAACTCAATCAAATCACGCAGCAGGAACCGTTCCCAACGTTAGGGCAGTTTCCCAACATTGTACATAACACCCAGACCATCCATGTATGGCATATGTGCGGTTTGGTTTCAGGGGTCAATGTCCCGTAGATGGTCTGGAAATGTCTGGGACATGGGTGGTTTTCTTTCCAAAGGTCTTTTGGTTGATCCTATAGGTGGGTCCGTTTTGGGAGGTGTGTAAGAAAAGTGTATCATGTTTGATTGTGACTCACCTGACCATCCAAAGCAACTGTGACCCTGAACCACAGCCCAACTGGCAAGGCCATAAATAACTGTATGACTTACCCTTGATGACCCCGTTCTCTTGATGACTCTCGTGGCCATGCCATCTTGATCATTTTTGTTTTAAGTCTCTTGATGACTTACACTCCTAGAAACAATCATGGAAATGGATGGCGGCATGGCTATGCATGGCCCTTGTTCTTCGACCATGCCAGATCCCACGTGGCCCAAGCGGCAGGTATCCAAAAACGCGCGTTTCTAACATGACTGGCAAGGCATGGTTTCGAGGAGCATTTTGAGGATTGTTTTTGAGCAGCAACGATATAACGTCCTTAACGATACGTATAAGGTGATATAAGGAATGTTTAAGGTTTTTTCCTGGTACTTTTTTGTTATAACATACTTAGTTAGTAAAACAATAGGCTATGACATCAATGATGGTATGGTTCACCTAGTCAGTGTTGTAATTAGTCCAAAATCCTTTGTCAAACATATGGTTGTTTGGTTGTTCGGCTATTTAAATCCGGCCCGAGAGAAGCCACCAACGTTCTGCCACCACGTGCAACGCCAAGGCCTTGGTTGATCCGATGCAACTCTTGAAGCATGAAGAAGTTGGCAAACCTGGCAGACCCGGCGCTGCACGTGCCAGGCACGGACCCTAGTTTGTTTTGGACACCGAAGCGACCAAAAGAGCCAGTGAACACCCATGGCCTTTCAGCAGGTCAATACAGCTGGTTTGCTTCAAATTGCTTGCAAAAATCCAGTACTGTAGATTTTGGAGCAACCAAAAGAAAGCAAATTTGATCACAAGTGACATTTGCACTCCTGCCCTGGAAACAAGTTGAGGAGGTTGAAGATCACTGCTTCATCGATCCATAATTGCCAGGTGCTGCTTTCATCTTAAGTCCGTTTCTGCATGTGGAAAAAATTGGTTGCAGCTTCACATTGTGGCAAACTTGTTCACTCTGCCGTATTTTTATCTCAGTCTTCCCCAAATGCACTCCAACATGTTTGCTCACCGCTCAAACTCTGCACCCGTTGAGTCTTGCGCCTTCTTCGCTCGTGTGTCCCGTCCGCGTTTCCCGTCGGCTCGTTTTGAACGGCCGAGCTCGTCGACTCGTCGGCTAAATGACAAGCCCAGCTGTACAAGCCCACGGCGGCGCCAATGACCACTGCAGTCAGCGCCAAGAAGCCTAACACCACCTGCAGAGCTGAGCAGTTCTGAGCAAAGCTGTGAGCTCTTTGGTTTATGAACAGTTTTTTGCAGAGCTGAGTCTAAGAGGGACGGGGCCTACCCTTGAGGTTTATGAAGTCACCAGGTCTCCCTGAAAGTGTCTCCATGAGTTGTAGAATGCCCTCCACACGACTAAAAGTCCTAGGATTTCTTGGTGGTCCGATCTAGCTCACACTGCGGATTACAAACTCCTGCACTAGAAGATTATAGTAACAGCCAATCAATTTGTGCCACTACAGCATACTGCAACTCAACAAGCTACTCACCAAGAATCACATATCATCATCATCATCATCTTCCCTTAAGGCGAATACTTTTCCTGTGGCCTTCCATCCAGGCACCTGGTGCCCGCCTCTTCACCGCCTTCCACCCAACCAACCTTCCATTCGCCCTCAAACACCGTCACCGTCACCGTCCTACGCGTCGCAGCCGGCGTCGCGTCTCGCGTCGCACGCCTCGTCGCTGTCGCCCCGTCGGTAGCTGGTTCCTCGGAACGGAGCGCCGGAGCGAGGCAGCGCGTCGCTCGCGTCGGGGCGCCATGGGATCGATCGAGAAGAACGCGGGAGCGCGATGGGACGAAGAACGGGCCGAATTTGGGGAGAAGGAAACAGGGGGACGGACGCGTGGATAACTGCGTTCACTTTTTTCACTCATAATAGGGCTCCATGATGCTCCAGACCCGTGGACCATACGCTCGGGAAGATGAGAATACGCTCGGTATTCTCTGGCTGATAGAGAGTCAGACCGATCCCATTCTCTCAAGATCCCGGGTTTCTTCTCCGATCCGATTCTCGAGTCCGTTTTGGTTGCATCGCTGCCCCGGACGGACACTGCAGTGCCACCGCTTCTCCGTCCGGACCGGTCGGTCCCGGTGGGTGCTGAGACCAGGGCTGACATAAGCCAAAATCAGCATGGTCAAGACCTGAGCGCAGCGGGGGAAGAGACATGCATATCCGCCGACCCCGGTGCAACCAAGGGGGAGCGCGTTAGGGAATATATAGTACATGCCACTGGCTATACCTGCAAACTCGGTTTTGTTTTTTTTTGGTCGGTGGTTCAACATACCTTTATTTAGGTCTGTGGACCGCATAAACATCCGCAACCGAAATTAAAGCCGCTAAAAAAAACGTTCGTGAAAAAAACGCCTGTGGCTCACCAATAAAGGCCCTTAGCTTGTGTATGAACGCCCGTGGAATATCAGAACAAATCAGAAAACTAGAGAAACATCCGCAGACTCACATATAAGGCTGTGACTCCAAAAGATGTGTTTCACGCCGCAGATCGAACAAAAAAACACTCTGAGGAAGTTCCAGGTATACGCAATCAGGAATTTCAAGGGGTGCAATTAAGGAAGAAACTTTTCAACAAAATTAAGGATATACTACATGTCAACTTACATGTCATTGTATGTAATGCCCAATGTCCATTGATGTGCATTATTTATTTCCTCATAACCCCGTATCAGGACGAATGTCTGCCCCCCAAAAGCAGCCAACCTTGTGCAGTGAATGATGCGCACTTTTGAGGAAGAGTAGGATAAAGAGCTGAAGTTGACACTTTGTCACGCACCACACTCCTCTCCATCTGACATCACCGCACGGTACACACAGGTTCACAGGTTCACAGCCGGGTTCACACGTGGACACTTTTTCTCTGCAATGCTGAATGCTCCATGTCGGATTCCAACCGCCCGAAGCTTGCGCATATATCCTTCTGTGAACATAAAACAAAAGGAAGAAAAGAAAGAAGCCTGATGAAGACTGGATGTACAAAACAACATCATGCTCTATATCCTTTTATGATCCTATTATTGATGTATTATTCTATTACAGAAATACTTTGAAGATCATCTGCACCCTCAAACCCGGGCGAGAGGTCAACCCCGATGTACCCTTCTCTCAAACATCAACCCACGACCACCCACGGCCATGCACAGGGCGTATTTGTGCGAATGAGTTTGAATTTGCCTTTCTTGGACAGTCACTTGTGCATGTCACAAGTAAAGATGACTGCAAAACAAATCAAAATAAACACAAATCGTCTGGTACTAAACTGCGGGAATCCAGTATGCAAAGGTTTGTTTGTCAACATTGTGCAGGCACATAGCTGCTCCTCCGTCCACGTTGAGCCAACAGCCTGTAGAAACAAAAGTGATATCCCTCACCACGAACCTCTGAGAAAAGCCTTCAGGTGCCCAAACAGAACTTGTCTTAAAATAAGGGACCTCCCCCCAAACTTCTCAGCTGTATATGCTGTATATAAACTACACTCCATCCCTCTTGGTTTCGTCTGATCCTCTCCCCCTATGAGGTAAACCTCCACGCTTTCGGAAATCGCATGCACCGCCATACCTCCGCATCTGGCACCGAACCACGGTTTCAGCCCCCCAGCCAGTGGCATGATCCACAGGACGGCGATCTGCCCATTGGCACCTGGCGACGACGACGTACGGCGATCGCCGTAGGTCGGTCGAAGGGTGGCGATGCCGTCGGTGCCTGCGATGAGGTAGCAGCCAAGCACCAAAGCCTGGGAGGAAAGCAACGACCAACTCCTCAAGGCTGCTGCAGAAGTGTCAATTGTATGGAATTGCGACATGGGACGGCAACAAGGCAACTAGGACATGACTGAAAATCACGATCATATGCGATGTATCTATAATATGTGCATAGTTTGACAACCCAAGCAAACTGGCCCTGAACTTCTACCGGCTGGGAAGCAGCACCAGCAGCACCCAGGGTACCAGCACCAACTCCTGCGCACACGGGAAGATGGGCGAAGGGGTCAAAGTGAGGGAAGGCATGCCTGGAACAGCTCTCAGGTTTTTGGAAATCGGTGTAGAAAGATTGTAGAGGTATCCCAAAAGGACCCAACAAGTATCATATCATAACCCAGACATACCCAGACCATCCATGTGACTGGCATTACTTCTACCATCTTCTACCTACATTGACCCCAGGAGAAGGATCCCACCCCCTCACCTGATTGGTTTCATTTGAGTGCTCAGGGCCGAGGTCCGAACATGCATCGCTCCATCCATCGCGATGCTCCACACACCAACGAACACACACGCACATCATACACACGTTTTTTTACACAGCCAAAAAAAGGAATCGTCTCTTCAGAACATGGATTGCTTCCTTTTGCCAAGCTCCGATGGTAACACCCGTGAATCCTTCCGCTTCGGGGCCGCCGACCAAAACGGGTTCACGCCGGTGGGCGCGCGAAATCCAAGAGCCCGCGCACACATGTTCACCTTGGTTTCCTGGGACGTCCGGAGCCGGACGCGAAGCAAACGGATCCGGATCAGCCACTGGGACTCCGTTGGACACCGTGGGCCACGGTGTGGACGTCCCAGACCAACAAGTTGATACCTGTCAGTTTTTGCTTCAGTACCGCCTTCAGTACCTGCTTCTCTAGAGGTGAGGTGAGGACCTGGTGGCTGACTTGCGTGTCTTTAAAAGAATCCAGAAGGATTGAGCTTGTAACAGATTCAGTTTGTATTTTGGTTTGTCATGTACACAATCGAGGAGGATACTCTCAGAGACTGAACATCAATTGACCATAATTATGACGCACCTGTTCAGTGGTGGCTGACTTGGAGCTTCCAAAGTCACAAGCTGGCGGCACAACTGGATGTTCATCTTCTATCACAGATTCCCGGTCAAAATTTGTTCTCTTAGACTCTTGACTCTAGAAATCATCCCCCACCAGGCCTCTCTTCAGATGCTGTTTTTGACTCACCTAACTTGGATCTATGTTATTACCAGGGCCCAGTGGATGATGGTCAGGTTGCAGGCCTTTCAATCTCTCTAAGAAAATGCATGTTCTTGTTCATTGATCTTCTTGACCCACGGCTAAAAGAAAAGGCATAATTCTTGTTCATCTTGAACAAAACAGCTCATCTCAGGTGTCCGGCTGTCCAGACCTCTCCCATCGTCGACGCGCGACTCCACCGGCCCGCCGCCGCCCCGTCGGTCGCACCTCGTTGTCGGAGTCCACCGGATCACCCCGGCGAAGCAGGGACTTGTCACTCGGGGGCCTGGGACCATCGAGAAACCAACGTGACCGAGTAACAAATGAGTAACGTTAATGTGGCTGGACGGGTTTTCATGTTGAGCGCAGGTGGAGGTGCCCATAGATCTGTTGGAGGCCGTTTTGGATTCGGAAGGATGTGATTGACATGAACCCGAGCTGGTTTTCGGAAGTCCGGGATTGGTGGTACTGGAAAGAACATCAAGTGGTTTGGTCCACTCACCCTGAAACTGAAAATTGTGATTCCCCGAGCCTTGCAGCTGTTCATCTGCTTAAGATCATGGTGGTGGAACCTTCCACTCGGGTCATATTTTGTCAGGGTAAAGCCCCTCATCCCCCCAAAAGGATATGAAACAGGGCAGGGGTTTGGAGGTGATTTCCAACATGTATATGACAAGGTTCCTCTTTGGAGGTGATTAACCCCTTTCTGATCTTTAAGGTTTTGTTTGGAGGTGAAAACACTGTTTCCTGGGAAGCAAACATGGGGTCGTGGGAGCTGGTCGTCCTACACGTCTACTCAACGACTCGCGCGCTGCTCGCGCGCTGCTCCCGCGCGCGGAGCACCGCCTGGTGCCCTCAATGTCGTAGGTGCCCATGCTACCCATGGTGCCGTACTGTCCTGACGGGGAGGTACCCGGTCCGCAGAGTCGATCCGGTGTAGAAGGGCGGCCATGCCGATGCCCGCAGAGCCATGGAGACCCATGGAGACACGGCGTCAAATCCAAATCGATGCCAGGATGGGGCAAATCCGAGTAGAGACAAACATAGCCAGCTGACAGTACATGCCACCAACTCGTAGCAGGGGACGCTTAGAAGGGGTTCGGAACTCGCCCTGAAAGGATCCAGCCACCCGAAACCTTCGCAGCATGGGGAACAGCAGCTGTATATACTTAGAACCTGAATGACCTCTATTTTGGACCACCAACCACCCCAAATCTTCCTATCAAAACAGGGGTCAGTGGGGTTCCAGGTAAAGGCTGGTAAAGACTTCGAAGAAGCAAACCTTCAAGTTGCAACGGGGCAAGAGGCGTGTGCGCAGCGGCACAAAATCAAGAAGCCACACCTTGAAAGGAATCATCCATCATGACAAATCTACATGAACGTAAGTTCACTGCATCGGAATGGCTGCCGAATTAAATCAACAACAGGTCATGGTGAAATGAGACACACTCTGACATTGGTTTTCAGTTAACTCAATTGCCACGATGGGAAGGAAGGTGAGAAACGGTATGGTGGAGAGTCTGCCATACTTGAAGATGTTTTAACAAAAGCTGTTTCGCAAGTCTGCAGAACTCAACGGCAAACCTCTGGGGCCTGGAGGTCTTGAAGAGGAAGCAAGGCCAAAAGCTCAATGCGTGACTGCAGAAAAGGTTTAAAAAATGGAAAGGCAGGTACGTCAGTGCTGGCCGGGCACTGATATCACATCCACTTGGTGCGGTCTTTGTTAGATGAGGCACACCAAGGGATCCTCATCCCCCTGCTTCTTTTTTGCGCGCTTTGTACATGTTAAAAAATTGACAAGCTGTATGCTAATAGCGATACTAGGAGCCTTTGGTAGCGAAACCGGGGGCCCTTAGTAGCGTCCCTTGTGACTCGAAACCTTAGGGACAGGTGTGGACACACACACGGCGCCGTACTCGGCGCGCTCTCCTACCTGCAAACTAGTAGTGAGGCCAGAAGTCCCTAGTAGCGTCCTTGCTCCCCGTAGACCGGCCAGAGGCCCCTATAGTAGTACCGTCCTTGCTCCTAGTAGCGATCTGTTGGCAACAACTTTGCACACATAACGCCAATATTGGCGTTCCGGAAAACTACTAGTCACCTAAAAGGCCTTAGAAAGACAGACCAAGAACACAAAACAAGAGCAGACTAAGAGGGCAAGAAGGAAAGATAGGCATAGTGACGAGGCCCACTTAGTTAAATGAAAGTAGTTCGCGAGCGGGACTTTTGTCTTAGACCGCTCGGGTAGCTAGCAATAGATAGGAGAAACAGAAGGAAAGGCACCAACACACAAGTGTGTTGAGTGCGATTTCCTTTTGTTTCCCGAATAGCAGGTGGGATAGCAACAGAGGCCTGGGGTAGGGGGGGAAAACAGACACTAGACATTACTGCAAGTTCGAAGTCGGAACATGTAGTGACTCATAACGACACATGACGGTGCAAGTGGATTCAGTCTGTCAAAAAGGAATTCCGTCGTTTATAGCCCGAAGGCTCGAAACTCCGTTAATTCAGTTATACAAGTGGAAAACGTGGAATCAGTTATGAAAGTGGAAAACAGTGAGTTCCGGCATGGCTTCGGCGCCCCACTGAAGGGGATCACACCCAGCACCCAAGTGGGAAGACTGAGCGGCTCACACTCTGACATTGGTTTTCAGTTAACTCAATTGCCACGATGGGAAGGAAGGTGAGAAACGGTATGGTGGAGAGTCCGCAATACTTGAAGATGTTTTAACAAAAGCTGTTTCGCAAGTCTGCAGAACTCAACGGCAAACCTCTGGGGCCTGGAGGTCTCGGAGAGGAAGCAAGGCCAAAAGCTCAATGCGTGACTGCAGAAAAGGTTTAAAAAATTGAAAGGCAGGTACGTCAGTGCTGGCCGGGCACTGATATCACATCCACTTGGTGCGGTCTTTGTTAGATGAGGCACACCAAGGGATCCTCATCCCCCTGCTTCTTTTTTGCGCGCTTTGTACATGTTAAAAAAATTGACAAGCTGTACGCTAATAGCGATACTAGGAGCCTTTAGTAGCGAAACCGGGGGCCCTTAGTAGCGTCCTTTGTGACTCGAAACCTTAGGGACAGGTGTGGACACACACACACACATCTTGCAATGAACATCAATGAACAATAGGTGTGCGACCTGGCAGCGATCGTGTTGATGGAGCATCTACAGTGACAGTGGTCTGTGGCGATATCTCTTTGGACCAATTCCAAGACTGCTGTGTGACTGCGATTTGTCACGAACTCAAGAAGACATATATGTGTAATACCAAACGTACCAAAGCAATTGATGGAGCAGGAGCAGGAAGATATGATCTCTCTTATTGCAGCAAATTGGTGAACCCACGGCGGCCTAACTGAACGCATCTTACTTCGGCTGGCGCTGAACGGACGCTACCATGCCACGGCTGCCGGCCGCTTTACTCGTCCCGCGTCCTTCAGGGCCATGGTTGTACTTGGCGCCACGGTAGACCACCCCTGCTGCGGCGTCCGAAGACAGAAGGGAGCTCCAGGAGGGTCACAAGTGACCTGAACTAGGAACCGTCACCTGGGGTATCCAACTGGGATAGTCTAGTTCGGGGTCTTCAACCTCAGGACCCTACTGGGGTATCCAACTGGGATAGTCTAGTTCGGGGTCTTCAACCTCTGTTGGCACGTAACAGGAGTCACCTTCGACGGGGTGTCGAACGAACGGAGGAAGTCGAGGTGTCCGCTGTCCATGATCCACTCAAACCCGCCACTCACTGGATGGGACTTAAAAAGAGCCCCCTTGTGACTTGTGACTGACATAAAGTCTTCCCGAACTAGCAGGGCCTGTCTTGCTCCCTGAGTAGGGTCGAAACCTGAATCTCCACCTCCTTGACCCCTATTATATGACCCCCCACACAGCAAGGGGCGGCTGCAACCAAGCAAGCAGCAGCGATGGTCAGCGAGTCTGAGAAGTTACAGTAGTTGTTACGCAACATGCATACATAGAGCCAACACCACATGTAAATCACTCAGAAACACATCCAAACCCAAATCTGAGCAACCTAGAGAAAATGAATGCTTGGTGGAAGAGCATGATATCAAAAGTGCAGCGTCTGAGTCATATAGTGTACATATGCATGTATACATGTATACAGTCTTGATAGTGCCATGTACAAACCGACCTCTCCAGCTCCATTAAACAAAAACAACTGCGTTCCTGTGTTCCTATCGTGAAACGCACTGAGTTCCCGATCCTGGCTCGGGCATCCCTCCTCAGGTCTAGCGGCCACCGGCGGCTTGGGGTGCGTGGAACGACGGGCCAAGCAAAATGCTGAACAAGTGATGTTGAACAATCTTGCACAATTTGTTTAGAGGATTTCACAACCCCTTCTCAGGTTCGGTACGACCAGACCCTGGCGCCGAAAAAAAACAAAAGTGTCTCCAATGACCCCCTCCATGACCATTTTCCTCGACAAAAACGTTTTTAATGTGTTTTTTTTGTTTTTTTTTTCCCGCTTCTATGATGATTCCAGGGAGTGTAAGACTACCGTGATGAGGAAAACACATCTCTTGGCCTGGCACCGCTCTGAGCCGCGTACCCGCAACATCCCGAAACCACCGGGTTTCCCCAGCGCATCTGTAGGAAGGGGAACCAGGTGCTAGGGTGGTGGGAGGTGGTGTTTTTGAGTGTTTAAAGGGCTGACAAAAACTGAAACTCTTCCCAAACGATCCATTAAATAGTCATATGCTACATGTCACCACCCAAAGAGTGGTTAGGTGATCCACTGAATATGTATACTTCCATCCAATAAGCATCCGAACTCGATGGTGCTGGCATAGATTATTTACCTCATGTATGAGCCAAAAGTAAGTATACTGAGTATATACCCTAGGGATCCAAGTACCTTCTCAGAAGGTACTTGGACCCTCCAAACCTACATAACAGTGCCTCCAATCACCTTCTGAGAAGGTACTTGGATCCCTAGGGATATGTTCAGGGATGGTCTGAGATTCATCACTTTTACATGTCCCTCGCTGGTCTCACATTCGTTTGCCGTTCGGCTGAGGCGACGGCACAGATCCGTCGTCGAGGTTGAGTTGAACGAATTCGGTCGATTAAAGCGATCTAATGTACATAGAGCAGGTGGTTTTGCCCTGCAAAGAGAACTACGCTATCGAATCTTGAGCCAGATTCTGCAAATCCAGAAGAGTTTGACTTCTGCACACTGCAGATCCACTGCTTCCTCAGATCCTTCCAAACAGCAAGCTTTGAAGCTTCAACAGGTTTATAGAGGTCCTGGTACATGCCCAAATGCTTGGTCCCTCAAAACCGGGATTGGTTCGGCCCCGGACCCCTGATCGGATTCGGGCACCAACCGGGGTGACATCGGTCCCTGAAGGGAGCGCCTGAAGCGACCACCTCGGGGAATCCAAAAACCACCGGAGCTTGGGGAATCCGTCCTGGTAGACCGTGAGTCGATGAATGTACCCCATTTGGACCGTAAAACCTCTTCTTCCTCTCGCGCACACCGTCGAGTGTGACACGGCTAGCAACGTTCCACTGCTGAGCCACCAGAAAAGCCCACCCCGCGGGCAAGCACCAAATTAAAAAGTCATGGAGAGAAGAGGTCCTACGAACGGCGAAAAGACCGTAAAACCTCTTCATATGTTTTGTCTCTTTTTAGAGTAGCCAACTAGTCTGCATTATAATGTAGTACTCATGTTTGAGACCATGAAACACTGAATGCTTTGACTTTTTTCACAACGCAAACCATACGAGTGGGTAGCTTTTGGAAAGGTGTTGATAGATCCACCCCACGAGTCCGACGCTTAGCTCTCCGGTTTTTTCTCTGCAGAGCTTCTCGCAGAGACCAATTCTGCACGCACAATGGCGGTCTTTTGGCGGTAAAGTCGTGCAATCTGTACAAGGTTACTTCACCTGCCTACCTTCTCTTGCAAACTCAATTCGCCTCCATTCTCCGGTCCTGTGCCGGAACCCGGAACCCGGTGCTTTCGCATGCGCCGGAACCCGTTGAACGGGGGTCATCAGATGAACCACCGCTTTAGCGTTTGTAGGGAGTGAGGGGGTCATGAACCACCGCCCCCTTGTAAATCCCTCAGGATCCGTTTCATGATTTTCTTACTAAGCAGCTGACGTCAGGTATGAGGGACCTTACTGATGGCGCCACCCTGATTGAAGAGAATGACTGCTTCTCAGAACGGCACCTGTTTGCACTGTCAGACTGGCAACGGCTCACCAGCCAGGCTGGAAAGGTTGAGGATGTTGAGGCTGAAAAACGAGACTCTCCCCCCTGACGAGTAGAATGATCCATAGGTCGAAGCCTCACTGCTTGAACTGTGAAGCGTTAGAGCCTTCTGCACGTCAAGCGAAAAGAGAATCAACTATCAAGCCGTTCATGTAATCCACGGTCGTTCCTTGGATAAGTGTAAAGCCAAAACAACTGAACTAAGTACTTACAGAAGACAAACTAATGGGATTTATATCGTTTATATGGCTTTATCCACTTGTCACTTCACTTTGCTGCTGTTTAGATTGTTTACAACTCAAAGTATTTATATATGATTATATATGCATTTATATGCAATCTCAGCTCTATCAATTCTATCACTTTTAGACGATGTGGCTTCTCCAATCATCTAAACCACCGGCGACGCCATACCCGATCGACCATTGGTTTTCTCCTGGCTATGTATTGGTTATGTATTAAAAACATAAACATAAACAAAATTTATTGTCAAAAACGTTGATAACAACAAGGAACGGCTGCTAGAGCAGTATTTAGATCTATTTCGGACGCTACTCTAGGTGGAGGCCATCGCTCTTGGCTTGGAGGCCATCGCCAATTAAGCTACTAATGCTATAGCTCAAAGCCAGTCCCTTCGGTGGGCCTGACCGCCCTCCGGGGGTCCTGAGACCACGAAGCGCAGGTAGTCCGTGGCGTTCCGCTCGTGGGCCCGTGCTTGCCGCTCCTGGCCGGAGGTTTGGTCGAGAAACCAACGACGGGCGAAAGGGAGGGCGGTCTGAGGGCGAAGAAGGGTCTGACCGGGAAGAGGTGACGGGTTTCATGCTTGGGCAGCCATAGAACAGACGTGTGTCGTTCTTTTAGGGAAAGACTTTTGGAGGGACCAACATAGGCAGAAAAGAGAGGTTGGTGAAGATCGTGGGCAGAATGTGCTTTATGTACATCGTATGTGCTGCCCAGGGTGCTACTTGGGCCTTTTCCTCAGTAGACACGGTGGTATCAAGCATACATTGAACCCTCTCCACACCCTGCAACAGTGGATGACTCAATAACAGGACACACGTGTTGTTTTTTGCATATAGCATCACTTATATAATCTATCTTCAACTCAGTAAACCTTTGATTTTCTGAAGGAACCCAGAAAACAGTAATAACACATATTTCCGGGACCCATAAGGAAAACAAACATGACCCAATGGAAAACACAGAGAATTCCTGCACCTGCAAGTCCATGCGGACACAAATACACCCAAACCCATCATCTCCTGCATGTCCTTTTCCAACTTGGGCAACGACCTGGCAGTGCTGTGTCTCGACCGTGCAAAGTGAGCTGAAACGGTGCTGGCGGTGCTCAGCTTCTGAAAAGGTGCACACATTCTCTCGAGCGTGAACGCTCCTCTCAGTGGTCATGTAGCAATTCAAGAGCATCCACAAAGAGCTTGACAAAACCACTCAGGAACAGATTCATAGATCATTGGGAAGAGGTGTTCATCTTTTCTCCTACCAAAACACATTCAAAGAGTGAATAAACACTTGCAATCCTGCAGGACCACTTAAATCTTCAAAACTAGCCCTTCAATAATATCGTCTCGTGTTCTTCTCCTGCATCTTCTGCATCATCCACATGATGGGTTGAACAAAATCTACACACTTCGAACTTGGATTTTCAGTTAATGCAATCTCCCGAGGAAAGGAATGGCTCAACGGTAAGGTGGAAAGTCAGCGCAATTGTAGATGTTTCAACAAGAAGGTTTTCCTACGTGACTGCGGAAAGCGCACGGCGGCAAAGCGGCAAGTCTGCGGAAAAGGTTTTGGGGTCTATCATGAGAACAACCATGGAACCAACGAACAGCAGCAGGGTGGATCATTGGAGTCGGTGTGTTCAAAGCAGGTACGTCAGTTCCGCGTCCGGAACTGATATCCTCACCATGTATTGCCAGCTTCGTTGATGGAGAAGCAATACAGGTGTCTCCATCCCCTGCCTGTGTGAAAGTGGTGGGGTGAGACCCTTTGTCCAGGGTGGGACACACACAGGTCGCCGCATTCGGCGCTTTTTTCCAAAAACCGGTGGCAGGCGTGGTAGTTATGCCCCTTTTGGACATATAGGTTGACGAGTTCAGCCGCAGCAAGGTCAGCGCTGGAGGGTGGGAATGTGTATTCCGAGGCCATGCATATGAATTAAGCGAGCATCAAATTCCCACAGGCACAAATGCGAGTATGCAATGCTGGTTAGACAATTGAGTACATGACTTGAAGAATCACTCTCAACGATGCAGAATCTGACATGTGAAAGACTCCTTCAAAAAAAGCCGATACAATTCAAAAAATTCTCAGCAAACACGACGGAGCTAGACACAGAAACACGCACATGATTGGAAGCCATGAAAAGAAAACTGAATGCCGAAATCGGAAATCAGAAGTTCTGAATCTGAGGGATTGGTCAAAAACCGTTTTTTGGCCCGGCGGCCGGTGTGGCAGTTGATTCTATGAGGGTGTCGGTGCCTTCCTGTGAAGTTCCAGTGATCGGTGGTGCGTTGGGGTGGTTGCTTTCCCATGCAAGAACGGCGCCCCTGTGAAGGGGATCACACTCAGCACCCGAGTGGGACGGCTGAGCAGGACACACTTCGAACTTGGATTTTCAGTTAATGCAATCTCCCGAGGAAAGGAATGGCTCAACGGTAAGGTGGAAAGTCAGCGCAGTTGTAGATGTTTCAACAAGAAGGTTTTCCTACGTGACTGCGGAAAGCGCACGGCGGCAAAGCGGCAAGTCTGCGGAAAAGGTTTTGGGGTCTATCATGAGAACAACCATGGAACCAACGAACAGCAGCAGGGTGGATCATTGGAGTCGGTGTGTTCAAAGCAGGTACGTCAGTTCCGCGTCCGGAACTGATATCCTCACCATGTATTGCCAGCTTCGTTGATGGAGAAGCAATACAGGTGTCTCCATCCCCTGCCTGTGTGAAAGTGGTGGGGTGAGACCCTTTGTCCAGGGTGGGACACACACACACACACACACATCAGCCACGCACATCACCCACAGCTGAACACATGCACCATCCACGCACAGAAAGCTCTTTTCCACCTCCAGTCTGACCACACCCTTCATCACCCGGACGCGCTTCGGAACTCGTCTTGGACGCAGCCGAAAGCAGCACGTTGGCGGCGAACGCGGTTGTAAGCGATGAAGGCAAGACCGCTTCTACCAGGGTGGCACATGCTTGGCCCCAAAGGACACACCCAAGTCATATGGGTGCCAACATGAACGCCTTTTTTGCGTGTTTCTCCACACCCGCACTTCGCTACGCGAGGGCGACGCTTCGTTCTGTCGGCTCTGCATTTTCGTTGCTTCGACCATCTGCGGGTCGCTCCGGCTGTGTCTCGGGGGTGTCTCGGGGGGTCTCCCAAACGGCACACACCCAGGTGGTCTGGAAAAACACATCGGTTGTTGAAGAGATGAACCACCCAAAGGCGACCCCTTCGGCCACGAACCAACTGCTACATGTTTGAGGATGTTTGAGGTCCAGTTCACCCTGGTTGTGAGGGTCAAAACCCTAGCGGCCCTAGCGAACTGAGGGTCCTTTATGAGCCTTTGGGCAACAGGTTGGTGTCCAGGTTCTATCGTCCAAACGCTTTCCTGTCGATCAGTGAGGTCAAGCGAACAGCACCCTGCACGGCATGCGAACAGCTGCGTGATGAACGGCGCATCGATGCGAACCAGCTAGACATCCCATCTGCTTCGTGGAAAAAACACAACCTTGACATCATATATGTCGTATGCTTCGTCGTTACAACCATCCATATCCTTCGTGAACGTCGTATGCTTCGTGGAAATCCGCAAGGATACGACGTTCTTGCAGCTTTCTGCTGCCAATTCTTGCGTGATGCGATCTTCAAAACATACGCCACTTCATGAGACAGTTGAAACTCAAGTTCCTGCCCCGCAGCGTTTGCTGCAGGCTGGATGTAAAAAGATTCCAAACATCTCACCAAATGGGCCATAAATCGATTGTAGGCCAGACTGCCACTCATGCTTGTCTGCGATATCAAACTGCACATGCCTGGCACAGACATCAGAGGCCTTGTGTGCATCCATGTTCGTCCATGTTCTGTATCACATGTCATTCTTGCAACAAAACCAAACTGTGGCATGTTTGTTGGAGCTTCCTTTGCAGGCAAAGCGGCCGAACCTACAACCGACCATGGGAAAAACCTGCCAAACATGGGCAAACATCGACTACAATCTCGACTACAGTTAGCTTTACATCACTTTTGTTTACCCAATGTTCTTTTTGTTCCCGCATTGCTTTAGTGACAAAATTGGTGTATCAACCACGGTTAAAGCCACGTAGCACAGCACTTGAAACATCGGCTGACACGATCGCCTCATCGCCTCCTCTGCCGGGCACCGGTGACCCTCTAAACGTCGATGGCCTTAGAGTGAGTGATCGACCCGAGTGGACAGATTTGGAGAAAACCCGGCTTGAAGAGACCAACGCCGCAAAGCCTGGAAGTCCAGCTCGACGGTATGTTGCCCCACTGAAGTCATGCAATGTTCTTTTTGGCCACCTATACCTATGCATGTAGAAAATAGTCTTGAACTCCCAGCGGCAATCACAATGATGATACAAAGATGTCAACCCTGTCAAATACAATTGTCTATCTGTTATCTGTAACTTATATATTCATTTTGTTAATTTGGTATGACGGTAGTAGCAAAGCAGTTCCATAGAGGGCTCAACGAATCTTTTGATGCAAACTGCCCAGCAACCCATGCCTTTGCCAAGAGCCTCCCGCAATGCCCTTGGGTTCCTATGTGACAGCAAACAGCGAATGAAATTCGGCCCAGCGAAATTCGGATCCGAGGACAATGGGACCCTTCTAGCTTGGCACCGCGGACGAGGACATGCGCCAAGCTGAAAGAGTCCAACGTTCACCGAGTCCTCGAAACCAAAGCAGCCAGTAACGTAGACTCTTGGATATTAGACTGACTCATTTGAATTGGACATCCTCTTCATATGGGGGGGGTTATGGTCCCCAAGAGTCTACATTTACCCACCATCTGAACACATCGTTGTGATCTTCAAACCCTGTCATGGGCAGGCCAGCCACACTCCGGCTGCATCATCGAGTGGGAGATGTTCAACCGACCTGTCTCCGGTTCTGCACCTGTCTGAGTGTTGAACCTTCGAGTGATGTAAGCCATCTGACTTGCACGTGGACTCGATCGACTGGCACGATCCATGCGGCCGACTCGATCCATCGGTCGATGGTTTCGGCGTGAAACCAAAAAGGTTTTGGCCTGAACCCATGAGGCATCTCATCGTGACCAACGAGTCTCCGACGCCAACCTTTCAACTCTGCATTCTCCTCTGAACTCAGGAACAGATCGCAAATACTTCCGTTGTGTCGTTCTTTCTTCCTTTCTTCCGTTCTTCTTTATTTCTTTTTACGGACTCGGTACGGATGGTGTTCTGAAGCAAACGCTCTGCCTTTCCGGGGGTGTGGAACGAAGCAGCGTCCCCCCGACCGCAGCCATGTATCCATGTGTGACCTTTGTCATAGGAAATTGGACCACTTATATACATGGTTGATGATCAATATAGGTCACAACCATAATATTTGATCCATATAAATGTCTTATTGGATGGTTGTACGCCGAAGGTCGATGCCCGTGGCCGCAGATGGTTGATGATCAAAAAATAGACATAGACATCCTTGAACATGTTCGACATGGGTCCATCGGTCAGGTCCCAATGCCGCAAGCGCCAATCCCGTCTCTACGCCAGTGCCGTCGACGCCCTCCCGTCGACGCACGTCATCCGCTTTGCGGCGAAGGATTCACTCCAAGAGGCTAGGAGGTCCAAGAAGTCCTTCAAGTCCACCAACTGGACAGGCGTGTCGCCGCGGCCGGACTGGACCGTGGTGTGGACGTCCCGTCCAGAGGGGTTTGACCGGGGTTTGGGGGGAATTCTGTGGTGTGGTTTGGTTGGAGGCCAAACCACAAGTAGGTTGGAGGCCATTGCTATTAGCTGGTTCAGTTGTTTCGGCACCACTGCTGTGTCTCACGCTACTTCAGACTGTCTGCATGTTGGCTTTTCTTCCTATACCCTGCACCTCCAAGTACCTGCCTCCTCAGAAGGTATGACTGGACCCTCCAAACCCACCCCAAAACCCTGAATCCAAAGTTGGAAGACAGAACATCTTCAAAATTTCCTTCCAGCCATTTCCGACCCATGGACTGGAAATGCCTCGGATGAATTATCACCGTAGGTATTCGCAGGTCAAGTCCCCCAAGGGAAATGGATGGAAATTGAAATTCCTCCTGCATCTCCTGCTCTTACCCTTTGAATCGATTCGGGGAGACGAATCATTTGTTATTCTTCGCCATGCACAGCAATCATGTGCAACAGTCGCAATTTTTCGTTGCCGCGCTCTCACAACTACTCGTCCAGATACTCTACAATAACACCTGCTGGCCAAGCCTCTGGGTGAACATTCGTGTTCACGTTAACGAACACCCGCCTCAGGCATGGAGAGTTCAGGGCCCACTTTTGGATTTCTTTGGCATGTGGGAAGCGCACCTCCGCCACTTTGGTGTCTTTGAAGCATTCGTGTTCGAGTAGTTCCGCGTTTGGAAAATAGATTTGCTCCAATTCGGAGCATGAGCTGAAGCCATTGCTCCTTATCTCCCGCACACCTTCGCCTGTGGCCCGTCTCAAGGATGTTGCTTCCGAGAAGGCCCAAGACTCAATCAAAACGACGCTATTGGGCAGGTCGACATGAGTCAGCGAAGTGGCTTGGAAGCTGGAATAGCCAACGTGGGTCAGCGTGCCAGGCCAACTCACGGTGGTGATTGGCGACTTAAAAAAAGCCAAATCTTCCACCTTGTTGAGTTGCGGATGCAGGTTGGCGTGAGAACACCTTAGAGGCAACTCCTTTTTGCTATTGCAATATTTTTGCTCCCGTATGATTGTAAGTGGCCTCCCGCCAAGGGAAGAGACGAGACTCGCACCATCAACCACCTTTTCGTCAACCACGAATTTGGTGACTATCCATGGAGGTTGGCCTGGGAAGACATTCTGTCCAGCGTCTGCCAGCGTGGAAGACGCTGACATTTGTAGGACTTTGGTTTGTCCACAAATCACGTTGATATTCACCTCCTGTGAATTCTCGTCCACTATCTCGTCATTCTCGTTTCCATCTTCGCGGGGCATCTGGGGGAAGTTGTGTTTCGGCTCGCCCCTTTGTTAAGACGGGACGATGAAGCGCGTGGACGATGCCCATTTCCCTCAAATAGACTGAATCTGTCCTGGAGCCACATTGAATGCAGCCAACATTCCTGTCATGCAGCACTGCTGGACAAGACAAACACTCCTCATACTCTCACTCATGCAAGGCATTTTGTCCATTAAATTGTGATACATGGATATAAATTGTGGTTTGTGCAGGCCATCCTGTGTTCTTATATGTTCTCAATTCAAGGGTTCTCAAGATATTTCACATGTAACCGAAACGAAATCACCCATCTGCCAGGACTCAACATTCGCATTCGTCACGGGAATTCACCTACAAGAAGTCACATCCACCGCCTTCTCAGGTTCGGTACGACTGGAGGCCTAGGGCCTAGGGTTAAGTTGGTAACCTCTTATACTGACTCTTCACTCCTCTGTCGGCCTGGATTTCGACGCCATGATGTCCTCATGACTCACCCGTGTCATCTGCAGAAAACCAACAAATCGAAAGACAAAACACACAAAAAAAAGGATCTGGATCTGAGAACCCTCGAAGGAGATATGAGATATGATCTTCCTAGTCCTGTATGCCGTGCCCTCTTCAAATCCGTTAGGCTTTTCATGTGTGTCCTTTCCGTCCTGTCCGTCTTTAATGATGCTTGGTACGACAGTATAAGAGGTTACTAACCCTAGCCCCTAGGCCTCCAAGAACCGAACCTGAGAAGGGGTTTTGGGGTATGATGATCTTCCAGACATGCACAAAATGAGATACCCTTGTTGGACCCTTGATCACATGTCAACTTCTGTGTTTTTTTGAGCTTCCCATTGTGCAAAATGTGTAGGACCTTGTCAGCGGGTGCAGGTTGTCAGCAATGGCTTGGATTCATCGCCATGCATCCTGCATCTATATAGGTACTAGGGACCTTAGAAAGGCCATGGTGACTATAAGTAGTGTAGTTGATTGGGCCTTCAGCTGCTGCACTTCCCCGGGGGCCTCGCCCTGCTGGGCGGATTGGACCAGCAAGCTAGCGTCCTCCTTGAGGATCCGTGAGAGCCTCAGGACGGTATAGGGGGGGACACCGGACCCGTGCCGGTCGACTCGACTCGGCCATGTGGAGAGGTGGAGGACCAGTTGTATGTGAGGGTACTGTGACATCCACCAAACTGGGAAGAATCCGAACTCACTTGGCTGTCCCGGACTGCTTTTTTGGGCCGTGCGTGAACAAGGTTGTCCCATGGACACGACAGCCCGCGTCTAAAAGGATCAAACTTGGCTTGAAACGATATCTACCTACCCCCGCCCCCAGTGAGAAAGTGAACTCCACCACAGGTCATTCGTGCTGTAAATCATGACTTGGACATCTTTTGTGAGAACCGCACACACACACACACACATCAGCCCCCACGATGAAGCATGAATCGACCATGAGCATTTTTCATCTTTGAGTCATCACTTTAAAGCCCTCCACCCCCTCTCATCATCCATCATCCACTCTCAACCCACTTCAACCTACTAGTCTCTTCCCCGCCATAGCTTACCACCCACCGGCACCCACCCCCAGCAATCTGTTGACCGCAGTTTGACAAACCCTACACCTCCAAGTACCTGCCTCCTCAGAAGGTATGACTGGACCCTCCAAACCTACCCCTTCTACCCCTTCTCAGGTTCGGTACGACTGGAGGTCTAGAGGGTCTACCGTCTACCTCATGTCCACTGCATCTCAGTGACACCTCCGTGAGCGTGCTGGCGGCAATTTTTCCATCCGTCCCGAACTTCTGCAAGGTGTCCTGGATGCCAAGCCACAGATCATTGGCCTGGTCGACGAACTTCAGGCTGGAGGGGTGGGAGGGGTGGGAGGGGAGATACGCAGTTTTAAACGAACAAACACCTGAAACAAGTCTCATTGCTGGTACTCCGGAATATGTTGTACACATATCTCCATAGTACTCAAAGAGTACCAGCTCCGGAATTTATTACAACATCTCCAATTCGTCAGTTTGCAGTACAACTCAAAGTGACACACTCAGAGCACCAAAAGCAATTACCTCAGGACACCAACCATCCGTCCGTCACACGTCCGTCCCGCTCCCACCATCACGGCGCCTGCGACGGTCTGGTGTTGACATCCTTTGGGAGACAGGACGGGTGATGCATTCGCTGTCGCAGAACGACTGCAGAACAAAAAAAAAGCAGAAGAATCCCTAAGCTTTGCATTTGATGATTCCCTTTGCAGAAAGTAGAAAGACCACACAAGAGTCCTCTCTGACATCCAACAGTCATCTCTGACAAGAGTGCAAGTCATCACAACACCCTAAATCCATACACCACACCTGAATCCATCCCAAACACTCCATATGTATGGCATATATGCCTACATCGATCGGTATATATGCCATACATGGAGTGTCTGGGCATGTCATCCCATTTCTTCGTCTCTGACATTCTGGGCTCCCCGACCATCGTCTTTGGACGCTCCGACTGTCAAGGGTGGACTCTGACGTGGAATTGGAGCAAACATGGCCGAACGAACCACATGACCGGTGCAACCAACTTGAACAAATTAATGGACTCGACTGGTGCAAGTGACATGGTTGCCTGTCGACTAGTGAGGTCAACCTACCAGGGTTCGTGCCCGAATTGGTGATTGCAGGTGTTTGAATACAACAACATGACCTTCAACCTGAGGCTGTGCAAAACGAAGCAACTCAACGAACGAGACCTGTCCACGTGGTCATCGACGTCATATCGCTCACTCCGAGTCGATGGGAAAACATGAGTCACATCTGCACCAACGACCCATGAAGAAAACAAACGGATTTGGGGATGCAGCAATCTGGTATCACGATTTGTTTTTTCCACGTCGTCGAAATGCAACAACAATAGAAATGTACTTGGAATTCTGAGGTCATGTCCATTTCTTCACCCTGTGTGGTCATGGATCATCAGGGTATGACTGGCCCTTGAACCACCAGTTTATGACATGGTAAATAGGTCATACAAAGATGGTCAATGGCATCTGTCTTAGTTACGCCAAACGTATAATTTGTCACAGTAGTTGCTATATGTTGCGCGCTACATCTTTGGACGTTTCATCAGCTTTCGACTGGTCCCTTCCACATGAAACATCCCGTTCTTGACATCGGTCGCCCTCACGTTTGCGGAGTCACCCGGCGCCTCTTCAGGTGTCAAGACCTGTGCCAGTTGCCATTCCAAGGCCTCTGCACTTTGCAAAAGCTCTAAGATCTTGGCCTCAGCAGGACGCTACATCTCCATCCACTTCTAGCGTTCGGACGCTATTAGGAAGCCATCGCAAGTAGGTTGGCCATCGGCCATCGAACGTAACAAGAACGCTACTACCCAGACGCTCCAAACAGCCCTTGGTCCCTCAAAACCTAGCGATTTGAGCCCCCAGACCCCTCCAGAGGATTCAGGTCCGACCCCTCCATAGGATTCGGGCCCAGGGTCGCGTCTGGGTAGTAGCAAGAAGCTGTATAGATCTTCACCTCGGCTCATCTCATCTGTATCTTCTCATCTCCACTGAAACTCACGTCACCCACTGAAACCAGTGGATATGGGTACGGCTATCATGTTGGGTGTTCGCCGAGCGGTTTCTCGCAAACAGCCATCTACCGTCCCAAGGCACAGTCTCCACGCCCAAATACGCCGCCGCATTCTCCCTGGCCACGTCCAAAGGTGTTTCCTCGCCGCCGCACATCGCGCGCATCGGCTCGCGCGCGCGCCACTCGCGCTTGCAGGACAAGTTACTGCAGAATCGACCGATGATTTGAGTAAAGTGCAGAATATGTTGATTGACTGGTTGCAGCGGATTTTCGTGGGAGTGCGAGAACCGCTTGGTGACGACTACGGTCTGCATGATGAAACACTTGTATATATACACTTACTTGTGGGATCTTGTGTGCCCAGTTTCATGGCAGGAGGTTGGAATCCCATCCATGTAGTGCAGGCTGGGATGCAGAAGGATGTTTCTCTACAAGCCGACAGTCGTGACAGTCTGGGATCTCCGCCAGCCACGCCCGAGGAGCCGACGGATGCTTCATGATGTGTTCTTTACAAACCAGCTCCATGAACCTCCAAGATGTCTTTTTAGATGAGGGTCCATATATCAACCACCTCTTGGGGTCTGTGCCATCTACTCTCAATCCACTGTAAAATCGTTGGCATAAAGCTCGTTGCTTTTCCAAACCTCCTGCAGCTCAGGTGCCAGGAACGCTGACCGCACCGTTGGGTCAGCGTTGGCCCGTAGCAAGACCTCTGAAGCTCGTGCAGAGTAGCTGAAGCAGCTGATCTCCCACCAACCAAGGATAAACAGAGAGAAAGCCGAGAGGGTCATTAAGCCAAGAAAGCCACGCCAACACCTGGATCGCCGAACTTGCTCAGCTGTCATGGTCAAGGGAACTGTTGGACAAAAATTGTGGACATCCTCTGCCCTTCAACTATGTGGCATTAACGGAAGGAACTCTTTTTCCCAGTTCTTTTTCGAAGCTTAGCAAGGAGAAGGGTTCAGAGCGGTGCCTGTCACTGGATGGATCATGCTCTTTGTCCAGGCATACCACTATCCCTATGGATCCACACACCTTCTGAGAAGGTGAGCAGGGAGAGGTCCAATTGCCCTCTGAGAAGGTATGTGGATCCATAGGGTATATAGGGCCTAGAGGGTCCTCACTTGGGCATCGATGGGCATCTCGACTCAACGACTATAAGGGCTTTCTCATCGATTCGAAGGTGGCAACCACCCGCTGCAAAGTGAGAGAAGGCCCTGGTTGAAACCCGTGAGTGAAACCCGATCTCCGAACATGATCAACGACCAAATTTGGACTATATGTAATTATATGTATATATATTATGTAATATATCATGTGGCAATTTGTGGCACAAGGAGCTGGTGGTCCAAAAGGTATACTCTGTTTTTCTACAAGCCTACCTCAAAATGCGCTGAAGCTGATTGTTGACTGGCCAAAACCAAGCATGTTCCCTAGACCTCCAAGTACCTTCTGAGAAGGGGTTTGGGGTGGGTTTGGAGGGTCCAGTCATACCTTCTGAGGAGGTAGGACTGGAGGTGTAGGGGTTGAAGCTGATTTTCCACCGGTGGGTGCCGGCTGCTGGCCGAGCCGTCCGATCGTGCTCACCTGAACGGCTGGCGCGCTGCCCGCCAGTGCTGCATAATGGAGGGGTCGCTCACGCATGACCTGAGGTCGCTCACGGGTCGTCTTCCGTGCAACGCATGACCTGAGGGTGCTCGACATGGTGAGACTCCGAATGATCACAGCTGGAGTCTCAATTCGTAGCTCAGAACATGGGAACCGATCAGTATGGTCGCTTAGTGTAGAAAGACGGTCGTTATGCAAAGGCCTTTAAAATAAAGGTCGAGGAAGGCTAGGGGATCTGTGTTATTGTTCCTTAAATGCTTCGGGTCATGAGACGCATGTTTTTTCCAGGTAGTGACCGATGTCAATGGACCTGGCGTAGTGACCAGGAACGAAGACCATTCGAAGACCTGGCGCCATTCACTCCACCAAAGCAGAGCATGATGTCGAACAGTGTGCGAAGGCACCAGTGTACACGGCCTCATGATGAATTCGGAACCTAGACCTTTGGAATTCAACTGGGTCTGGGAGCAAGCCTTTTGAACTGAATTTCTTTCTGCCTTCGAATTGACGCTACTTTGACTATACACACACTTCCCGCGCAGCTCAGGAAGGAAAGCAACATAAAGGCTGTTCTTCTTCTCTCAGACTAAATACCTTCCACCACCACATGTGGTGCTTGCGCTCGCCTGCGGCAAACCCAAACTCAAACAGAAAACCCCGGAAGAGACGATCTGTGTCGCTTCCGAAACGGCGACACGCTGCCATGGCACATCCTCGGCATTGGGATCTGCTTTCAGGTCCAGGCAAGTGCGGAGGGACTCCAAGTTGCCCGCCCCCTGCAAAATGCAGAATTCGATCCCTCTCGCACAAATGGATGGTCAAAGAACTGTTCAGCTACAGTGTTTGGCACACTCCTCTATTTGAGAGGCTCATGTGTTAGTAGAAACTGTCCAAGTCAAGTACCCAATATAGACTGCGTAAACCCCAGAAGCTCCTGCGTTTCGTTGGCCACAGCCTTTTGCTCAAAACGTCTTACATCCCTCCTCTTTTTGGCTCCAAGCGACGGCAGCAATGTGCACGGGCATTTCGCCCATGCCGCCGCGGAAGCTCTTGTTGGTGATCAACATGCCTCCACGCGAACATCCCAGGAGCGTTTCAAGCACTTGCGTGTCGGACTTCGGAGCATGGGAGGGAGCGTTTGTTCTTCTGAGAGTCGATGCGCATTGACTCTTTGGAGTTGTGAAGTCGCAGGCCATCAAGTCTTCAACCAGACGATTCAAGCACTTCAGTGTGGGAATCCCGACGTCTTTGGAGTCCCTGCTACTGATTGCTACTCTTGGTTTCAACACGAAACCAAGCGGCGGCCATCACTTGCAACATGAAAGACATTCAAATCAGTTTCAGTCGTAGGCCATTCGGGATTCCAAATGGGAAGAGATGGGAGATCCGCGTCGTCTTAGTACTCCCAGGATGCGAGCATTGCAGGGTCATCTCTGTATTTTTCTAGCGAGCACTATGGACTATAGTGGGCACAGGGATATCTTTCACACTGACTGTTCAATCTGAGTAAACTGTGTAAGACTGAAGAACACAAAAAAAAAACATAAAAACCTCGAGAAATTTAAAGACATCTTTAATTGGTCTGACCAGCAGAACCAGCAGAACCAGGTCATGCCAGAACCACCCCGACGACCCTCCGGACACCTGGTGAGGCGCACCACTTGCGCATCTTGTCGCCCTTGCCCTGAAAGGTCGCCTTGGTGCGAACGGTGGAACGTGGAACGAGAAGGGTGGGGGAGGTGGCGGAGGTGGGGTGAAGACCCATTGCATGTGGTGGGTGGGACCTGCGGTGGTGAAGACCAAAGAACATGGTTCATGTCATACCTAGACCCTCCCGAGGCAATAATTTTTGCCGTAGGCTGTTGAGGCAAGAATTTTTGCCGTAACTCATTTTTTCTGCCGTAGCTCAATCCCTGGAAAGTGAAAACGCCGTCAGAGAAGTGAAAACGCCGTCACAAAAGAAGAATCGCCGTTTTGTTTGATCTACCAAAGAGGATATTGTTTTGGTCCGTCCATACTTCCTTTTTCACTTGTAAGTAGAGCTCATCGTTTTCAAGCCTCATGGTAGCACTTCTCAAGATGTTGCAGCCCTTGTCTAAGGTCTCGATTGAGATCACGGCAGGATTTGTTCACATTTTGATCAATGGCTGAAAGGATCGCTTGTGACATGTTGTGACAAGTCTTGCTGCCACCTTGAGTGGCCCTAGACAGGGTAAGGGAACGACGCCGTAAGTAGGGGAAAACGCCGTAAGTACGGGGAAAAACGCCGTAAGTACGGGGAAAAATGCCGCAAGTACGGGTAAGAACGCCGTAACTTTAAACGCAAAATCTTCTGCAACGCCGCGCAAGAGGTCGAGTTACCCGCGAAAACCGACGAAAGCCCAGCATGTGACACTTCCATCAGCTGCCCTTTCCACTTCACATGACTATGCGAGTTTGCTGATATAATAAGACGCCTTTTACGTTCAGTTGCCTTTCAAGCAAGACCCTCCAATGTTTTCATACTCGCCTGCACTAAAACTAAAACGAAATGACTCTTTGAGGCGCATGGATGTGTGGACCAAAATTGCCATCAACTGACCGAAACTGCCGCAGTTCATCAAGAAACGCCGTCCCCATGAGATCAATATGGAAGAACGCCGCAGAACGGAAAAAGGCGACGTTTCATGAAAACGGCAATTATTATTGCCGTAACGAAGTTCCAGGTATGAATATCTGGTTCTTGATGGTAGAACTCCGCAAGCACTGCCGAAGAACCCTGCATGTGGAGTGGAGGACATTGATGACATCAGGTCATCAGGTATCCTCAATTTAATTATTGACAACAATGAGTGTCCTTGTACGTGTTGCTTGGGCACCAGAAATCCTCAGCATGCCTCAGCCCCTTTACAGATTGGGCGGGTGAAAACGACCAAACCCAAGCAACTGATTCGTGAAGTAACTCTTTGTTGCGGTCCATCTCTCCCAAGCTCTTCAAGACGGGCTTCAACAGTCTGACGGGGAACACATGTCTGTGGCTTGGACCTTTCAGCTGCCGTTGCATACTCAGGTAAGCCCAACGCCTTGTCGCACACCACTGAATAAACATAAGGAAACACGATTCGACTATGAAACGCGTCTCAATTTTTGGGGCGGGTCTCTTCCCGCAGGCGTGTCTATATGATTGGATGTCTCCACATTCATGATTCATAACCCTACACCTCCAAGTACCTCCTCAGAAGGTATTTGTACCCTCCAAAGGTAAATGTCAGCCAAATTCAGCCTTTTGAATGCGCCACAGCTTGGATTCAACCCCTTCTTGAATTCAGTTCATCACTTAGCACCTTTAATTGCCATGCACTTCAATTCCACAGCCAAGCAAGCGTGACACTACGTGGGTCCAAATTCCGCCCACCGCTTCGCGGCTCCACATCGAGCGCAGCTAGCGCTGGGTGTGCCGGACACGACGCAGCAAGGGGCCGCAGGCGAATTGCTTCAAGGACTCCTCAAAAAGCCGGAAGGCCTGACAAAGGCACCGAGGTCCAGTCGCGGCTTCGAGGTCCAGTCAGACTTGACTTTGGACGCGCAAGTATCTGTTCTTTTTGGGTAGTACAGTTGTTGCTTTTAAAATGAGTTTTTTGGTCCTTGCGTGCCGGTCCTTGCGTGCCAACATTATACACCCTACACCTCCAGTCGTACCTCCTCAGAAGGTATGACTGGACCCTCCAAACCCACCCCAAACCCCTTCTCAGGTTCGGTACTTGGAGGCCTAGGGACAGTCTGTTTTTGCTGCATACGTTTTGATATATAGTCGACGTCGCACCAACGGTCTTGGTGCACGACAGCCGACGTCGCTTTGCACCGACTTGGCGCACGAGACCTTTAGCCTTTAGTGATCGGCTGAAGATCTCAGTCCCTCGCTCCACGAATCGTTTGGTCCCGTTTGACCCCTCCAGTCGTATCGTTTCGGTTCGGTTCGGAAGGTAGTTGGGTGACCGGGAGGGTCCAGCTACCGAAAGTTTAGAGCTACGACGACTGGAGTCCTTGATTGGGGGATTGTGGCTGAATCCAGGTCAAAGGTGGGCAACCATACCAGCCGACCGAACAGCCTCCCAGAACTCCGACGTGTTGGGCGGCCGTTTATGCATGTTCGTAGACAAAGTTCCAACAATTCGCAGTGGTGCACAAATACAGGGGCTTCAGACAAGAATATCGTTTGGTGAACTCATCCACAAATGATTGTTGGATCTGTTTTGGGGAGATCCGAAACGCTGTGACCCAAATCTCTTGCAAAGACAAGCTCCACACCGAGCAAGCGTGGACGGAGTGTACTTTGGGTTCATAGCGGAGACCATGCGATTCTGTCGGAGAGACTCGAAAAAAAAACCACCGTATACCCGGTCAACCTTACCCGTGCAGTCAGTGGTCGATCTGATACACGATCATCGAAATGTCATCAGGCAAAAGGAAGTCAAACATAGTCAGATTGTCAAGGTCGGGTCACCTTTGATGCTACTCGGATTTATGGTACATCAACTACAACACCCACGTTGCCAAGCCACTTAGCCAAATCGCCAAGCAAAAAAGGGTCGCATATTCCTGCACGTGACTATGACTATATGCATATGTGTTAATTCCATTCCAGGACCTCTGACGACTGTCAAGTCATGACTAAGAGTGATGGACAAGTCATCTCTGATGATATCCTTTGGGACCCATTGGGGATGGGAGATGGACAGGATCCCTCCCCAAACGACCGACCCAAACCGTGTGGCCGACCTAAACGATAGATGTTGTCCAATCCTCATACCCTGACACGACCTGTCTGGGACTGGCAGATGACTATACCGACCAGTTTGGGTGGTTGGAGGCGTCCGGGGCGGCATCAGCAGAGGCGTCCCACGTCCGGTCGTGTCTGCGGCAAGGATTGAACGCCCTCACTGGTGACGTTCGTCCGCGCCTGTTCCGGCTGCCCTTGGGCATTCGGAAAGCACTCCACGATGCGCTTCCTGCGGTGGCGACGAACGAGACGGGTCCCGTGCGGTCTCCTGCGTGGGTCCCGAGCAACGGGTGTCCGGTGGAACCGGCCCAAGAGGCGAACGGAGCATTGCTACGCAGAGCAGCTGATCCAGTCCAAGCTGGGCGAAGTATACGCTAACTCTAAGCAGTATGCGAAGCAATACAGCATAGGCCGGAGTTGCGTCCGTCGATCGGGACATCTACGAAATCGCCACAACATCTGCCATCTGCATTTCGATATCACTTGGAAACTGGAAGATTAAACGAACTGTTTATACCAGGGTCATCCAATGGGTGTTCAATAGATTACCCTACCCTACTTACAGGTCTCCATTGGGCACCCGTTGGAAGTGCTATAGGTACAAATGTATCTCCCCAAAAAAGGGCTTGAAAGTGCGCCAAATTGCCAAACCAATTCGCAATGGCCTAAGATTTGTCTGCTTTTCTCGTGGTTTTTCAGGGTGTGGCATCTGGAATGTGAGTCTTTTCGACATGACCCGTGCTCTAAAAGTGCCCGACAACCTCGAGCGCCGGTTGTAGACATGCCCAAGAATCGGAGGAATTTCCGAGCTAAAGCGAAGCGCCACTGTGGAATCTATACACCTGGGAACCAAGTCCCAACCAGAAACAAACGGTTGGAACCCAATATGGCTTGGTTGAGATCCTTTAAATAGAAAATGGTTGTTTGGGGAAACATCCAGTTCTTTCTTGCTGTTTGGGTTTCCAGGTAGTGACCCTGAGTCCAGTGCTCTAGACAGCTAGACTCGCTAACCCTGAGTCCAAATGACTCATTTTATCATATTTTACCTACCAAATGACAGTGGTGGAAAATGAGTCATTTGAAGTTCTAGCTAACATGGAAGTGGACATCACTTCCTGTCTCTGAAGAACATCGTCTTCCGGTGGAATGCTTGGGCCAGTGTGCTTCGTGCTTCGTGGTCTTTTTTCGCAGCCACCGTGTTTCGAAAGGACTGCTGGGACGTGTCACACTGTCACCCCCCCTCCCTGCTTCAACCAAGCATCTTCACCGTTTCTTCAAAATCCTCCTCCGAACAACTGCCACGATTCACATCAGCACACCTGGCCGGTCACGTCAACGCGGTAGCGGCCCGGGCGGCGAACGCTAACGCGTGCCTCAGAGTCGCGGCGATGGTGCTGGAAACCATCGGGTTTTGCCAGTCGGATTGGCGCCCTGGTGGGCACCCAGCGTGGCTTAAATATGATGCTTAAAGACTTACTTGTTTTCCGTCCGTGACTCGTCAAAAAGAGATCCTCTGGCGACACTTGTTTTGCGGTCCGTGACGCCCAGGTGAACACCTAACACATCCGAACACCGAGTCCAACGACCGGTCTTTCACTCGGAAAGAATGGTCCGACCGATCTTTCACATCCTCTCTGTCCACCGGTTGTGGGACCCACCAAGTCGGTTGAGGTTCGTGTCCGGTTGTTGGTCACAGAAAAAGAAAACACCCCCGTTTGGCCTCCAGTCGTACCGAACCGTTTCGAAGAGGTTTGACTGGGGTGGGTGGTTTAGGAGGGGTCCAGTCAGACCGAACCGGGCACATGAAAAGGCTTTCAGGGCCAAGGGACGACTGGGTAGGATTTCAGGACTGGGTCTGCGTGGGCATGTTATATACCCATTGTGAAACTTCCCGGGTGTACCCAGCTCGGCCTCAGCTCCATGATCTTCGTGAGCTCACTCTTGCCTGGTGCCGCATGGCAGGCTAAGACTAAGAGCTCTCAGCAAACTAAGGCGAAGGCTAAGAGCTCTCAGTCAACACGAAGCGGTTCACACGATGTGGACGGTTGCGCGCAGGAAGAGAGAGCATCAAAGTTTCTCGTTGCAAGTGCTGTACTAGCTGGTGAGGGATGGGTGTGAACATTTCAAGTAAGGAGTCCTCGTAGCTGCAACATGTCGGGTCAACAGAATTGTTGCCCGGAAAGGAGGCAACCCTTTGCGATATTTTCCGATGACCCAACATGGTCTGGTGGGATGCAAATGATCCACTT